CCATCACATCCTCTCACTCTTTTTATCCTCCCTGTGTCCTGTCTCTCCCTTCCTTCCCCACCCTTTTCTCCCATTCTTGATTAATTGGTCCTGCTCTGTGTCAGTAGTCTTCGTCTTGTCAGCCTCACCTGTTGTCCACATTGATTATATTTAGTCCTGAGGTCACCTTGGTTGCCACAGGTGATGCCAGACTTGTGCCTTGTGTGTGTCTGTAGGGCTGTGGTGGTGGAGAGATTGTTTGCTGCACCTAACTACTGTATGCCCTTGTTCTGTAGTGTGTATGTGTGTGTATCCTGTCCTGTGTGTATGTGTGTTACAGTATACACACGTAATCATCTCTGTGTATACGACTAGATTTCATACAATTTGCCTGATTTGTCAACCAATTCTGACCTTGTATGAGGGAGGAACACTGAAGCCAATAAATGGTTCTCAAATTGTCTTCTGAGTATTAACACAAACTACTGTACCTGGGTAATGATATTTATATGTATAGCATTAAAATGAGTAGACTGCTGGGGGCCTTAACTCTGGGGGAACGACTCCTTTGTGTACCATAAGCCTGTCAAGGTGTTGGGGTCACACACACACACACACACACACACACATATACACAAACACTACACATACACGCATTACACATACATACACTACACATACACGCATTACATACACATACACTACACATACACGCATCACATACACATACACTACACATACACGCATCACACACACATATATATATATATATACACACACATATATATATATACACACACACACACACACACACACACACACACACACACACACACACACACACACACACAGAGAGAGAGCAGTGATTAAAGATTTGGCTGTAAGTCGATTAAAGGATCGTATTCCGGAGTCATGATTAAACCAGTGCAGGTGATAAGCTGTCCGGCCTCCCTGGGGTCTTCACTGACAGGATTACACATCTTGTTAGGGGTGGAGTTGTTGTGTGTGTCAGAGGTAAAATTGGTACCTTAACAGTTAGGTTAGATTAGGTTAGCTTAGCGTTAGGTTAGGTTTAGTTTAATTAGGTTAGGTTAGCTTTAGGATGGGTTGGGTTAGGTTAGCGTTGGTGTGTTTAATTATGAGGTGAAGTAGGTTGAGGTATCTGATCTCCAGGTGAGTCTGTAAACTGTAACAAATTGGCGAACTAATGTTTCACACCTTTCACCTGATGGTAATTTATCTTCAAATTACTCAATAAATATAATTCCCCAACTCGAAATACAACTGAACTCACTTCCTACAGGGAGGGAGGCTGGCTGGCAGGGAGGTGGGGGGAGTCAGGCAGGGAGGCAGGCAGGCAGGCAGGCAGGCAGGCATGGAGGGATGGAGGGAGGGAGGAAGGCAGGGAGGCTGGCTCGATCTCTCTTATTCTGTGTGTGTGTGTACCTCAGATCGTACCACTCCCAGCTAAAACACCGCCAGCTCACCTCTCTCTCTCTCTCTCTCTCTCTCTCTCTCTCTCTCTCTCTCTCTCTCTCTTATTTGTAAATTGGCTATTGAGAGAAGTGTAAACAAATTTATTTCGCAATTCCTGTATTCTGGCCTGAGGAAAGCAGTCAGTTTGTTCTCCTCTGCCTCATTGTGTCTGTCCGTCTGTGTCTGTGTCTGTGTGTCTTGTTTAATACAGGATCCGTTGACAAATTACTTAAAGATCCAACACCACGCATCACTGTACGGCCTGTGTTATGGACCTATAGTTCTTAGAACATAAGAACATAAGAAAATAAGGAGTCTGCAATAGGCCGGTTGGCCTGTGCATGGCAGCTCCTGTCGAGAGTTACTACCACTCTCTATCATCCATGAATCTATCCAGCCTCCTTTTGAAACTTTCCAGAGTTCCCTTGCCTACAAAGGATTTGCTAGCTTGTTCCACTCGTCCCTGCCACCTATTTGTAGACCGGTTTGGCTTCCTATCTCCCTCTTAAAGCCTAAACTTATCCAACTTGAATCCGTTGCTCCGAGTCCTATCCTGCTCGGATATTATAAGAACTTTATCTATATCCCCTTTATTGATTCCTTTCACCCACTTAAATACTTCTATCATATCTCCCCGCACTCTTCGTCTTTCTAGGGAATGCAAGTTAAGTTTCTTTAACCTTTCCTGATATGGAAGGTTTCTAAGTCCCGGAATCATTTTTATCATTCTTCGCTGCACCGATTCTAGTGAATTATATCCATTCTATAATAAGGGCACCGGAACTGAACCGCATAATCGAGGTGCGGCCTGACTAGCGCAAGATATAGTTGCAATAAGACCTCTGCACTCTTGTTATTTACACTTCTAGATATAAAACCCAATACTCTGTTTGCCTTATTTCGAACATTAACGCACTGTTTTCTAGGCCGTAGGTCCGGGCTTACAAGTACCCCTAGGTCTCTTTCACAAGACGACTTCTCTAGGTTGATGTTGCTAAGGCTGTATACATTATCAGCCATTATCATTCTTCCCTAGACGTTGCCCAGACTGAACCTACGCTGGGCAAACTGTCATTGGAGAAGATATCCACAAGACAGATATCCTCAGTAGGGTAGGGTAAGGGTAGGGTAGGGTAAGGGTAGGGTAGGGTAGGTTAAATTAGGTTTGGCCAAGCTAGGGTAAATAAGGTTAGGTTAGGTTAAGTTATGTTACCTTCAGTATCTACATAGGGAATGAACTTAGTATCAATTCGTGTTACCATCCCTGAACTAACTGATTCATTAAGTTTAGTCCCCACGTCGGGTCTGACCTACATGAATGCAATTAGTGTTAAGTGTCAAAGGTCAAACAATCAACCCTTAAGGTCAAAGGTCATTACTAACACCAAAGGATGATTACCTGACCAACATAAACTTTATATTCAAATTGATAATCTGTGTGTGTGTGTGTGTGTGTGTAACGTAAAATTTCATGACTGTTCTTAATGAATATATATATATATATATATATATATATATATATATATATATATATATATATATATATATATATATATATATATATATATATATATATGTATGCAAATAAATCATTGTAGGTGCGCGTGATCCAGGTATATGCTGATAACCACAAAGAAAAAGAAAACACGAAGTTCCCAAGCGCTTTCGTGTAATTCACATCTTCAGGCGCTTGGGAACTTCGTGTTTTCTTTTTCTTTGTGGTTATCAGCATATACCTGGATCACGCGCACCTACAATGATTTATTTGCATATATATATATATATATATATATATATATATATATATATATATATATATATATATATATATATATATATATATATATATATATATTATGCAGAATATCATTAACCTAACCTAACCTCACCTAACTGAACCAGGTAACGTTACGGTATTTAATCATCAGGTGAAATAATCTGGGGAGGATAATCTTAATATGATCCTTTAAATCTTTCCCCCAAGGGTCGTATGTATATGAAATGTATTTAGGTCGTATGTCTATTTATCCAGGCTCGACTTTACAATGGTGCCATAAAACAGGTAAAAGTTAGTAAAGTAAAATAAAATAAATTAAACACACTTACAGTAGTTATCCTTTGTGTATAATTGTGACTACTACCACTACTACCATCATCACTACGACTACTAACACTACTACTACAACTACCACCACTCCTACCACCATTACCATCACTAGCAACTTTTTCTTAACGTGTATATACAGAGTTGGGAGAGACCAGATAAGGTGTTGCTGTCCATACCATTGATGATATGTGAGGCTGAATAACTTGTACTGAGGGTGGTGTTGTGGTAGAGGAGCAACACTATGTTACAGGGGGATGCTAGTGTGTGGTAGGGAGTTGCTTGCTAGTGTGTGGTAGGGAGATACACAGAGTTTTAGTCCGGGGTATAAATAAGTATTGGTCGGGAGAAGTTCTGCAGAATGGAATTTCAGCAGAAAACTCGCAAGCAAAAGTTGGAGGCATTACCTGGTGAAGCACTCATTGTGTGGGGCGAGTTGGTCAGACGAAATATCACGATATTCCTGATTTAAAATAAATTATCTTATTATGTACAGAAGTATAAATACTATGGGTTGGAAAACACACACACACACACACACACATACACACACACACACACACACTCACTCATAATTCATGGTTCGTATTTCATTGTTTAACATTTTAATCTCAATATACCAAGATGTACATTTTATCACCTTGTGTCTGTATTCGTAATAATTAAAATGTTGTTAGTGTTTTGTAAAGGAATTAAAGCAAGAATGCACTTAATACTTTATTTTTTTTATCTTCATGCAGTCCTACACAAGTATTAAACACTCACTCCAAAAAGTATCTTCACGGAGAGGGTCGATGAATTTCCAAATGAACACTGTGACTCCTGTTGTCTCGGTAGGGTTGCCCAAATCCTTCGTCCGTTGTCTCATATTGTCTCACATTAAATCGTAAAGATACTTTTTTGAACGAACACAGTCTCAACATATCTTACCTCCTGTGTGTGTCTTAACTGTTATATATGTGTGTGGATTTCGTATCTCTCTTAGTGTTTAATTTAATGGAGAATAGTTAAGCGCTGAGAGATTGTATTAGTTATAACATCAAGGAGGAGTCTTACGTTCACCTGTCTTTTAAATAACATACAACTTACCTGTTTTATAATACTCAGTTGTCAACATTATTCCCAGAGACCGAGAGAGAGAGAGAGAGAGAGTTTTCCTTCATTTCATTCTAATCATAACCAGTCAGTCATAACCATTTTATCCAAATGAGTGTCTCTTTCATCTCTTACACACACACACACACACACACACACACACACACACACACACATCACCATCATCATCACCATCATCATCACCATCCTCATCACCATCCTCATCACCATCATTATCATAAGCATCTCATGTCATCCACAGCAGACAACCTTTCCTCCTCTTATCATAAAGAATTCATATCAACATTTGTTTTTATTAATTCAAGTCTTTTCTTCTCGTCCTCAG